ACTGGCTATGACATAAAAAATCCAGTGAATTTAATGTTCAATTTAGATAATACTTTAAATTGTCTTGCCTATTTTAAACTGTTGTATGCAAAAACATTTTCATCTTATAGCTGAAGTTTAGATAAACATAAAGAAGACAAATGTCAATGTTTACCTTTATTGATAAACTTTGTGGGGCTTGAAGATACTGTAGCAATCCAATTCATGTTAAAATGAAGAAATGCAATTCTAAAAACTGCTACTCATACCAGGTCATTTGGGTCATTTTCATGCTTTATACCATTTGATTTCCTGTTACAAAAGGTAAAATGTCTTTGATGGTCTCCTTCATCCTGTTCTGTGCATCCTCATTCCTCATGGCCATTTTCAGTGATGCCTCCCCCAGATTCCTCTCCTCTTCCCCATGTCTCTGGAAAGAGCATGAACCTCTTGTTCTACTTTGGGTAACCCATTTGGCACTTTCCAAAGGAAATCCTGGAAAGACAATGTCTTATAACAGGAATTTTAGACATCACACAAAAACAATGGAAGAGCTGTTTTTAGTCTTCACATGTCAGCAGCCATTTTCTATTCCATTAAGTAGGAGGCTGGCTTGGGCTGGTCCCATCAAGATCTTCTGCTAACTTCTTGTATCCATTCAGTGGACAACACTACCTGGGTGTTTCATTGTCATAAAAAAACTCAGTTGGAACCAAGCATCATTCCATTTATACTGGCTCTTTGGCTGAACTTGATTATTTCAATGATGACATTGCTGTCTTGGTTACCAATGCTTGAAACATGGAGTAATTTGGGGTATCCTATTTCTCAAACTCTGTATCCAAATAGCACTTGTGTACATATTTGATTCCCTACTCTAGATTATTAACCTCTGAAAAGACAGTTGGTTTTCTCCCAACTCCATGGCACTTAGCAGTGTCTAACATCATGGCTTCTTTTTTATAAAGCACTTTTACAAGTGCTTTATTTATGACAAGCATTTTTCTGACTTTATTTCTATTTTCTTTTTATTTTTTGAGGGGTAACACTTACAGTATCTATTACAGAGTCATTAAATAGTCACAGAGTGAATATTAATTATAACAGAAGGTATAGTTGACATTCATGTGTAGGAGATGATTTAAACAAGGTGTTTAAAATCATCATAAGCAAGTAACTGAAGGAAGTCTTGCATGATGTTTAGTTTCTATTTGATTGTTCTTTCCTGAAATCTAAGTACGTTGGTATCCTACAGTTCTATTCATACTTCCAAGGCCTGCCTGGGCCTGTTGCAAAAAATTATGCCAGGAGAGGGTTCAAAGCCTTATCAGTTAACATGAATTTCACTCACTCAAAGTGCAGTAGAACAGTACACCATCATGGAAGATGAGATAATCAAAGAATTATTAAATACCTGACAGTACAAACATTAATCATTTGAAAAGAAAACATTTGAGTATGTGCTAATGCATATGTTGCCTTTAGTTCTGAAGCAAAGTTTATTTCAGCAATATATGAACATTGTCCCGATTTTCAACTTTGTTATTTCCAATATAAATTTAAAAAGCAATCTTTTCAAAAGTTATCTCAGCAAAGGCTAGAAAAGAATAAAAAGGTGAAATGCATATTTGTCATAATAATCTTTGTTAAGCTTCAGGCATTAGTAAGCAATCAGAAGTGTAGAATACATTTGCAGTCTCTTTGACAACTAGGAGAGATCTCTCTTAAGGATTTTCCACCTTTACTGCACATTAGCATTATTTGGTGAGCTTTTAAAATCCTGATGCCCATTACTTGGGGAGCTTTTAAAACCCTCCTACCCGACTTAAATCAGAATGTCTGCGGGTAGGAGTCAGGCATCAGTATTTTTAAAAGATATTCAGGTGATTCCAAATTGCAGCAATTTGGAAACCCATGCAATTGAGTAAGGGCCAGGAGAAATATCGATACATCCTGGAAAGCTGAAATAAACAAGATGCTGTAGAAGCAGAAGATCGTAAAGGTCCTAGTCACACCTTGATTTTATTTTTATATGTTCTGGGTATCCAAGATACTTAGGTACTTACTGAATTGAACTAGCCTTATTAAATCATGTCATTATTAGATGACTCTGCCACCCATTTCCACAGTCCTTATATTATCATTTTCATTCATCTTAAGCATCCAAGATAAGGAGTTTTAACAGTTACATCACTCCAGTGTGCCAGAAGCCATCCATATCAGGCTTCCTTATAACATTCCTGGTGTACACACACACACACACACACACACACACACACACACACACACACACACACAAAATACATTCCTGGTACAAACTGTATCAGATTGAGTTTCTTGGAAACAGACTGAGATAGGAGCTGCAGCTATTTGGCCCCTTGCGTGTGGCTCTTCCACAAAATACCATGGTCTGGGCGAGTCTATTTTGAAGAAGTGGCATTAGAAGAAGTTTAAGTTTAAAAAATTTGGCTCTCAAAAGAACTTTCAATCATTGTACTGTTGATATTGGGCTCTGTTGACTAATGAGTTTGCCGACCACTGTCCTAGAAGATTGCTGTTTCACAGACCTCCTCTTCTGAAAGTTCAGGAGGTTAAGCAAGTTGCTCAGGGTTACAGATAACTAGTTGTAAAGCTGGTGTTCACATAGAGGTCTGACTTCACACCCAGGTCTGACTCCGAAGCCCAAGCCCGTATTCTTCAACATTGCACTGTGCAAGAAGATAAAGATATAATGAAACAATAGCATTGATCAAAAAAGACTACTTGCGCCGAAACTGGTTTGGCTCAGTGGTAAAGCGTCGGTCTGTGGACTGAAAGGTCCCAGGTTCGATTCCGGTCAGGGGCATGTACATTGGTTGCGGGCACGTCCCCAGTAGGGGGTGTGCAAGAGGCAGCTGGTCGATGTTTCTCTCTCATCGATGTTTTATCTCTCTCCCTTCCTCTCTGTAAAAAAATCAATAAAATATATTAAAAAAAAAAAAAAGACTACTTGCAAGTCCAGTGTGAGGCAGTGGGGTGATGCTATTGCCACCAAGGTAAATGTGACTTGAAGCTGCGCTGTAGAAATACAGGGCTTAGAGCAAGGGCGGTGACAGTCCCACGTGGTCCTGGGTGATGGAGCACACCTGGAGTGCTGTGTGCGTGTGGGCTCCACACTCTCAGAGGATCATTGACTCACCTGAAACCCAGCCAGTGGGGAGTGCCCAGTGGGAAAGGCTAAGTAACATGTCTCATGCAAGAACTGTAACATGTCTCATGCAAGAACTGTTAAAACGCTGAGAGTAGTAGTCCTCTCGGAGGAGACTCAGTACAGGCTGAATCGCTAGTATTTAAAGTGTGATCACGTGGTGGAGGATGAGACACACTCCAAAGGGAAGAATCTATCTAAGAGACTGCTTAGATAGAGAAGCAAAGAGGAGGATTTGGCTCCTCACAGGGAGAGAGGACCACTTGGTGTTTGGAGCTGTTTAGAAAGGAAATGGGCTTCCTTGTCAGAGAGTGAAATCCATTTTCGCTGATCAGAACCGGAATGAGCACTTATGGTGGGTATTTTAAGACCTATGTCAGGTGTGGTGGTTCTGACATTTTAAAGGTATAAGGCCCACCTGGGAGAACTTAACAGTTAACAGTTAACTACGTAGTTAACTAGCACTGATTTCCAGGCCTTGTTTTTAGAAGTATTGACTCAGTAGACCCAGTCCAAGATCCAAGGTTCTGCATATATATATATATATATATATATATATATATATATACTTTTTTATTGTTTAAAGTATTACATATACTAGTACATATATCTTCTTTTTTTTCATTGATCTTTCTCCAGCCTCCCCCAACCCCTGTCACATGCCCTCATTCCAACCAACCCCCCCAACGTGTCTGTGTCCATTGGCCGTGCTTATATGTATGCATACAAGTCCTTTGGTTGCTCTTTTTCTCCCACTCCTTCTCCCCAGCATTCCCCAGCCTTCCCGCTGTAATTTGACAGTCTGTTCATGCTTTACTGTAGCAGGGTGGACCTAAACCAGATGGGCCCACACTTTGAGAACTAGTGAGGCTGATAAACTCTGAAATCTCTTCCACTTGTTTCTCAAATAAACATTGCAGTAAGTAATGTCTGTAGTCAACATATGACTGTTCAGAGCAAGTTGTCAGTTTTATAAAAGATTCAAGACAAAACTCTTTAATATGGTGACAGTTATAATGAGAGGTGAAATTATTGGAATGTAGGATATTAGCATATGGAAGGAGAAGGCTTGATTCTCAACTTACCAGATGGGACTTAAAAAGTGCAATGGAAGTTACAGATGCAGTTTGAACATCTTTAAGCAAAGAACCCTATCTACGTAGACAAGGAGCGATTTCACGAGGACCTTGAAAAAAGCTAAGCATCCTAAATGACAGCACCTGTGTAAGGCTAAACACCCACCAGGTGTTGGGGCCCAGGTTAATATAAAGTTCCACTTGAGACTAACAGCACAAGTGTGAGTGAGAGTTGGAAACTGAAAGCGGAGTTGGTCTTCTGACTCTGGCCCACTTTTTGTTGGGGCTTAAGATTTCTCGCTGGCAAGTACAATATTTTTTTATTAATATTAACTTTTATTTAAAGTATGCAAACAGAGAGCCACGTTTTAAAACATTTTTGCTCTTTAGAAATATGTTTCTTAAAAGTGGGGCTTGGTGTAATTACTGCCCAATATAAAGACTTTTTCTTTTAAGTTGCATAATGATGCTTTATTTGTTTCTTAAGTGTATTACATAGCTTTAAAAATATATTTTTCCTTTGAAGTTCGTTAAAAACTAGCTAGTTGAAGAGGTGGTCTTTTTGCCTGTTTTGTTGATTGATGCTACTCATGTGCTTATTTATTAAAAACTAGCAAATAATTTCTAATTAAAATTTAAGGCATATCCAATTTTCAAATAGTAATTACATGTTGGTAAGTGAGGCTCTTGGTTCTATTTAATTTATTCTTGCTTCCTTTTAAAGGTTGCAGGCCTCATAGACTTTTTTTCCTGGAATCATGAGAGATGAAATTGCAACAGCAGTTTTCTTTGTCACAAGACTGGTGAAAAAGCATAATAAACTGAGTAAACAGCAAGTAGAAAACTTCGCAGAAAAGCTGATGACTATCTTGTTTAAAACATACAGAAGCCACTGGCATTCTGAGTGTCCTTCTAAAGGGCAAGCCTTCAGGTGAGCGCTTGTGCATGGAATGGGGAAGGGGAGGAACAAGCACCGGCAATGGTTTTGTTGGCAGTCTATGAGGGATGCCAGTTTTGTGGACGTGGATTTATTCGTTTGAAGGTGGCCTTGCTTGAAAAAAAGATACGTAGTGATGGTGCAGTTGAATATTCTAGCACAAACCCCCTTATGTGAGGTGGATTAAGCAATTTCTAACTTGTATTTACAATGAAAGATACACCGTGGACTCTCGGTGAATTAATTGTGTGACAGTGATGCAACTCGCATTCTGAGCTGCTGTGAGAAAAGCTGATGTTTTACTCTTATTTGTAAACTAGAAGGTGGGGAAGGGGTGAGAGTGTTACAGAAAACCGAAGAAGAACAAAGCAATACTTAGAAAGATGGAGTTACCTTTATTACATGCCGGTCATTTCCCAGAGGAAAATGCCTCTCAAATTCTGGGCCCCAACATGCAGGAATTCTCCCTATTTATATGATTTTTACCTTCTTTGTCTCCCAAATATGGAGTGTTTCTGGCCCCTTTTGCAAGTTCTTAAAGAGCCCGTATATGCTGGGCTTTGAGACATCAACCAGAGGCCTCGCCTGGCGCCAGCACTGATAACCTTGTCTAGGGAAGGTTTCATGGCCTAGCTGAAGTGGGAGTAGTCTTAGCAAGCAAGAATTTACAGAAGTCAATTAGCAGGGTTAAAATCTCAAACAGCAGTTTTCACATAAGATGGATGCTTCAAGAGAAAGCAGGGGTGAGGTGGGAGCTTTGTGTTTTGCAACAGAAGCCTAGAACCATATTTCTTATAAATCCTAATTAAAACAGAGTGTGGTTGTTCTCACAACGCCTGTCTGTGCCTTTGAAGTGGCTGATAATGGTGACCTCCATGCCTGATAGTTTCTCTGATTCTCCTGCTAAAGCACCTGAGGACACACCTTTGTTTCCCTTTTCTTGCTTTTTAAGGTGTATCAGGATAAACAATAATCAGAATAAAGATCCCATTCTACAGAGGGCTTGTGCTGAAAGTAATGTAAAATTTTCTCACCTGGGACTGCCAAAGGAGATGACCATATGGATAGATCCCTTTGAAGTTTGCTGTAGGTGAGTAATCTCATTGGAAGTAAGAGTCTGTGTTCCCTCTGACAGGTGGAAACCTTAGGCTATTTAGTCAGTTCTGTGCATGTTTGTGAAAGATGGTGCTCAAAGCCCTGGGCTAACAGCCAGGGCAATGGTTGGATAAGGTTTTAGTTGCAAACTTGATTAGACAGTGCAGATTTCCAGTAGGAGTGGGAAGCACAACAATTTTGCCTAATAGTTGAAATTTGATTTTAATCCCCGCCAATAGTAGATTGTAATGTCGAAGTCCTGCAGGCCGTATGAAGGGGGAGGAGGAGTTATCTACCATGGAGCAATTCAGCCCAACAGTTCAAACAAAAGCAACGAGTCTTTGTCTTTTTCTGAGCAGTTAACCAAGATAGCTCTTATGCTATCAAATACAACAATGCTATCAATCCCACCAATTACAACAGGGCAGTAGCTGAAAGTTGTAATGTCTGTCAACTTGCCTTGCTGTCAAGTCATTTAAATTTGTTTTTCAGAATAACTCTTTTTGTAAGTTAGTGAGTTGTCTCCAGAAGAAATTAGAGATAAGCTTTGAGACATTGAATCCTAAACAAATAACTTTATTTTCTTTTCCTACTTAGGTATGGTGAGAAAAATCACCCATTTACAGTTGCTTCTTTCAAAGGCAGATGGAAGGAATGGGAGCTTTCCCAAAAAGTCCTGGATGCTGTCAGTAAAGCCTCACTAGACTACTCCTCAGGCACTTCCTCCGATGAAGAAAGTTGTAACAAAGAGCCCCGGCTAATTCCTAAAGTCAGCAATCCGAAGAGTATTTATCAGGTAAAGTGTATTCCAAGTCTTCTATCTACTTTAATGCCTGTTCTGATTTTAAAAGAATTTGCTGACTGTAAAAGCAAAGAAACAATAATTGGAAAACATGGTAAAACAAAACAAAACTACAAAGTTTAAAATCACAATATTAATATTCTGGTAAAATGTTGTTTTTTGTGGTTTTTTTTGTTTGTTTTTTATATGTAGTTCATCTACTTGGCTGAATGACTAGAATCTATACTATTGTTTTCAGTCCCATTTTTCCATATTGTATAAGGAAATAACTTTCCTTTCACCTAAATTTCTTCAGAATTAAATATTAAAATTAGTGGGCTTTCTTCTTCTTTTTAACCACAACCCATAGAAAGACATGCATCGCTATATGTTAGAAAGTTTTATGAAACATTATTTACCCTTAATAGGAACAATGTTCCCAACACTTTGAATTAAATTAAAATTGATTTCAACCACCTGAATGGATCTCATGATTCACTAATTCACAGTTTGAAAAACACTGATTTAGGGAGATCTTGAATGTTTTCTTAAAATAATCACTAATGTATTCACATATTAAAAAATTTAAAGATTTAAATTTTTAATATTCATTTGCTTTCCTAGTAATTTACTCAATTTATTATTGGCAGATATCTAGATTAACTATTTCTACATTGTTATATTAAAAAAAAAACACCTGATAACTCATACAGAAATGTCTGAATTTTAAATTATTTCTGAAGATTTGATTCTCAGACATGGAATTGCTGGGTCATTAAAATGTATGGACATTTTACTCATTCTCAATGTACTGCCAAAGTACCTGTTAGAAAATTATATTTGTAATCTAACCAGCTTTAAGTGAAAATGTTTACCATTTTTTCTAAAATTAAGTATTCTCACTTAAAAATAGTTTTAATAACAATACTATTACAGATATTATTAAATGTTAAAAATTGAAAATCTCCATGTCCTCAAATGTTTTAGGTATTTACTGTCTTAATGAATTTCCTCTTTTTTATCTACTTATTTAAGTAGATTAAATATATGTATATAGGGAATGAATGTATTAGTATAAGCTCTTCAAACTTGAAGAGTATTTTAACTTGTCACTTTACTGAAAAATATTTCTCTAGCTTGTTTAGTTTTCTAAACTATATATATAGTTTGTACATAGTTCTCTATGTATAAAAGTTTAAAACTATATAGTGAAATATTTGCCCTTAATTCTATTTTTAATTGATTTCTTAATTAAATTATTGTCTAAAGTTTTATACATGATATGTCACCCTTTTCCCTGCTTGACCCCCTGCCCCCCCAACCCCCCCCCCCCCCCGGCCATTCCCATCCCACGAAAGCCCACACTGCCACAGTGTCTGTGTCCATTGGTTACACTAATATGCATGCATACAAGTCCTTTGGTTGCTCTCTTACCCCCCCCCCCCATTCCCTGCCATTTGTCTCTGGATCTATTCTTGTTCATCAAATTATGCTGATCATTATATCCCACATATGAGTGAGATCATGTGATATTTATCTTCTGACTAGCTTATTTTGCTTAGCATAATGTTCTCCAGTTCCATCAATGCTGCAGCAAATGGTAAAAGTTCCTTCTATTTTATAGTGGCATAGTATTCCATTGTGTAGATGTCATTCTTCATTTCTTCTTGGTTCTTCATTTCCCTCCTGCTTCTTACATATATTGTTGACTTTTCTTCCATCCTTTTCAGCGTCCTTATGTCCATTGCTCTGAATTCTTTCTCTGACATATTGCTTGTCTCAATTTCATTTACTTTCTCTTCCAGTGATTCCTCCTCTTTTTTTTTTTTTTTTTTTTTTTTTTTGTATGGGGGCTGGTTTTTGTCTCCCCATGTTCGCTCCTCTCATGGTGTCTGGTTATGTAGCTCACTCTCTTCTGCATTGACTTAAAGGCACAAAATACAACATGACAAGACACAATACACAGGGAACCAAACACAAATACCAATAACCTGAAATAAAGGTGACCACCAGAGAAAAGAGAATTAGGGGAGAAAAAATAGTGCAAAAATGATATTGAGAAAAGAAAAAATGTAAGAGAAAAGAGAAGAAAAAAAGGAGGGGAAATATATGTATATGTATATGTATATGTATATGTATATGTATATGTATATGTATATGAATATAGGGAGAAAATCCCCCAAAACCAACAGCAAATCCAAAAAATGCAAACAATAAACATCCAGCTGAATCTTAGGAGGCAGACCTATTTTCAGGATATTTCCAGGCTATCTCTAACCTTCCTGTCTATGGATTGCCTCATCAGCTATTTTATTTATTTATTTATTTATTTATTTATTTATTTATTTATTTATTTATTTATTTATTTTTACAGAAAGGAAGGGAGAGGAATAGAGAGTTAGAAACATTGATGAGAGAGAAACATTGATCAGCCACCTCCTTCACACTCCCACTGGGATGTGCCTGCAACCAAGGTACATGCCCCTGACCAGAATTGAACTTGTGACCCTTCAGTCTGCAGGCCAACATCTATCCATTGAGCCAAATCAGCCAGGGCCATCAGCTATGTTTAATTCACCAATTCCAGGTAGATGTTGTTCAGTTCAGCTGTTCCTTCTATCTGCTCTGTCAGAAGGTGCAGGGTCCATCTGCATATTTGATGCCACTTTGTCTCCCCTGGACAAACTTTTTAGGCTCCTGTGGCTGGAAAGGCTGGAATCTTGGTGTTCATGGGTTCACAGCTGATGTGGTTGTAGGGTCCCAGGAGGTATCCGAGGTCTTTGATCACTTCTGCTCTCCCCTTCAAGATGGCATGGTCTCTGTGGCAGCATCAGCTGCTCAGAAGAGATTTCAGCAATAGTAGAGGCTGCCCAGCCAGAGGAGCCTGGTTCACCAGTACCCAAGAGTCCCATGGAATATAGCTGTCCCTCACTTACAAATATAGACACTCCATGCACATCCATACTCTCACTCACACACGATTTTGCAGCCTGCCATCCTGTTGGCTGATATTTCCCCCCATCCTGAGAGCTAATTCTATTTTTATGCTTAGAAATTTATGCTTCCATTTAAAAAGCAATATCCCTTCAGAGTATATTCTACAAAATATCTGTATTAGTCACTTGATATGTTTAAAATGGATATTTTTAGACCTCCACCCAGAGATCATGAATAGACTGTTTTGGGTTCCACCAGTGAGGTGGAGTGAGGTAGGGGAGAACATACAAATATATAGACATTTGCATAAATGTGTTTTTAAAAATTTTATTTGAATTAAAAAATACTTTTATTTAAAGGTATGAAATTGACTTGCTTTGTACCCTCGAAAATGCTAGCCAATTTCCCAAATATGATTATCTACTTCTCTTCATTTGTACTTCCTATGCTTTTGAAACATTTAATTTCTGAGTTATAAGTTTTATTTAAACCTTAGAGCTAGCTTGTTAGTTTAAAAATATCTTCATGCCATCGTTTTATCCTTTTCTTTTTTTTTCTAGGTTGAAAACTTGAAACAGCCCTTTCATACTTGGTTCCAAATCCCCTCCAAAAAGAACAGAGTGGATGGCCGTCTGGGTCACCTGAAAAATGCTTATCACATGCTGCACAAGAACCCCAAGGGTCATAAGCCTGGGGCTGTGTGCCAGGTGGACAGGTACCACTGGGTCAACACCAACCATAAGGCAGTGGCAGCATGCTCAGTGCCATAGTGCTCAGAGGAGCCACTTTATTGTCTCTAAAACAAAACTAGTCTGAGGTTGGGAGGCTCATGAAATAGAAAAAGTAACAGAGACCAGGATGCATGATGGTGAATCCTCTTACTTTTAATTCTTATTTAATTTTATATGAAGTTTTATATAACACTAATGAATGTACCCTGAAGGTAATAGAATGAAGATATTAACCTGTGATAAGATTTAATGAATTATGAAAAGTAACGGTTTAAATAAATGTGTTGTTTTTAATATATTCCTCGTCCAGTTTGTTGCAAGAAAATTTTAAAAGTTTATTAGCCATTAAAAAAAAACCACTTCATTTAGGGAAGAGTGAGCCTCATAATATAGTTTTCTAGTTCTACTCTATTATCTGCTGTCACTCATTTCATAAGGCTAGTGAGAGCTTGTTTGAAAATTGCTCTTTAAAATAGATAATTCCCATTTTTTAAAAAAAAATTTGTTTTTATTTCTAAACCTCTTAATAGACTTAATAATTATGACTTATTTTGTAAGAGTGATACATACTCATCATAAAAATTCAAGCTAAGTAGAAAATTAAAAGTGATTATGTCCAGCCAGAAATTACCATTATTCACATGAAATGGTGACCATCATTCTAGTCATCCTCTTCTATAGACAGAAGTAAGAATCTAAACACACAATGTAACAAGAAAACCATACTACAGAAGCCACTTATAAATATTTGGACTTAATTTTATTTGATCTTAGCAAAACAAATTAAAGTGAAACAGAATTGTTGAAATATCCATCAGCTTTTCTATCACAAAGTATCTTGTTTCCTGAAAGATTTCATATATATATAATTTTTTAAAGGAAAACACCAAGAGGCTGGAATAATCTTTAAAACTTAAAAACTTATACAGTATTATTTGTTGCTATGTAAGCTGTAGAAACTAGCACTCTTATTTTTTTCTTTGTCCCTTATTTTCCATCTCATTTTTTTTAAAACTGAGATGTAATTGACAGATAGCAATATATTCAGGTGTACAACATGATTTGGATATTTGTATACCCTATGAAATCATTACCACAATAAGTCTAGTTAACATGCACCATCATACATAGTTACAAAATTTTTCATGTGATGACAACTTTTAAGATTTACTCTCTTGGCAACTTTCAAACATGTGACCTTTTTAATGTCAGTTTAACATTTATGTTCTGTCCTAAAACAATTATTCCTACAGTTTTTTCCTTAGTTCTAATGTTAAAACTGATTAAATGTTCATCAATAAACTTTCCTATACTGTGAAATCTATTTTGGTGAACCGGATTTTGTTTAGCAGCTTTCCTTTTTTAAAAATTAAATTTTTTGAGATAATTGTAAATTTACTTACAGTTAAGAAAGAGAAGATATTGCACACCCTTTACCCAGTTTCCACCAGTGCTAATTTTGTGAAACTATAATATCACAACCAGATACAGTGCATTTGCATCACCAGCCAGCATCCCTCTTGTTGCCTTTAATAGTCATACCCACTTCCCTCCCACTCTCATCCCTTCCTTAACCCCCTTGACAACTACTAACCTGTTCCTCATTTCTATAATTAAGTCACCTCAAGAATATTATAAATGGAATTATATGTAGGTAACCTTTTGGGATTGACTTTTTCCACTAAGCAAAGTTCTCTGGAGATTCACCCAGGTAGTTGCATGTATCAGTAGTTTGTTCCTTATTATATATCACTAGTGACCCAGTGCATGAAATTTGTGCACAATAAAAGGGGACTAATTAGAGGAAATAATTTAATATTGCTATTTGCCCTTTATAATAGAAATGTCAGAGATGAAAGTAAATTAGTAAAATGTATATGAAAATCTTCCTGTCAGAGTCTGGGGCAAACCATGGAACCCAGACCCAAGCAGGCCCTCCCCACCCTGTTGGGTTAGATCCAGACCCAGCCATCCTTATCAAGCCCTAATGGGCAGGAGGTATAGCCTCAGGTCCCCTGGCCCAGTGCCAGGATGGGGTGTGTGGCCTAATGTCCCCCAGCCCAGATTGTAAGAGGGGGCATGCCTTGAGGTCCTCCATCAAGGCCCACCAGGTGGGGGGACTGAAACCTCAGGTCCCCTAGCCCAGCACCAGGATGTGGGTGCAGCCTCAGGTCCCTTGTCAAGACCCACTGGGCAGGGGCACAGCCTGAGTTTCTCCAACTCAGCACTGGGGTGCACCTTGAGGTCCCCCAACAAGCCCTGCTGGGTGGGGGACACGGCCTGAAGTCCCCTGTCAAGCCCAGCCAGGCATGGGGGCACAGCTTCAGGTCCCTTGGCTCAGTGCTAGAGCAGGGAGCACAGATGAGGTACCCTGTCAAGCTCTGCTGAAAGGGAGTTGTGGCCTGAGGTCCCCTGGCCTGGCACTGGGGTGAGGGGTACGACTGAGGTACCCCAGCCTGACGCCAGGGGCAGGGGGGTGGCGTGCCAAGAGGGCGCATAGCTTGAGGTCCCATCAAGCCCTTCAGGGTGGGGACCATGGCCTGAGGTTCCCTGTCAAGCCCTGTCAGGTGGGGGACAGGGCCTGAGATTCCCCTGTCAAGCCTCAAGGGGGTGGGGGAGGGCGAGGGCGAGGGCGTAGCCTCAGGTGCCTGCTGCTCTTTAAGGCTCCTTATGGGAACTCGGCCTCAGCTGTGGGTGCAGCCATCTTTGTGATGGAGTGATGGTCAATTAGCATATTCTCTCTTTATTAGATAGGATGGTATAGATATATCAAGATTTGTTTAACCACTTGCTTGTCCAAGGATGACAACTGAGTTGTTTCTAGTTTGGGGGATTATGGATAAAGCTACTATGAACATTCATGCACATAGATAGGGAACTTAATCCCCCCCCCCCATAAGTGCCTAAGAGTGCAAATAATGGGTCACATGGTCGTTGTATGTTTGATTTGTAAGAAGCTATTACACTGTTTTATAGAGTGGCTGTACCATTACTCCCACCAGCAATATATGCAGGATGTAGTTTCTCCATTCCTGCACCTGCCTTCGTTCTTTATCTTTTCACACTTACCAGAGTGGCTTAAATTAAAAAACAAAAATAGTGTCACATCATTGTTGTTTTAATTTACATATCCTCGACGGTTAGTGATGTCGAACATCTTTTCATGTACTTATTTACCATCTATATATCCTCTTCGGTGAAGTATCTGTGCATGTCTTCTGGCCATCTCAGGAAGGGATTCCTCATAGACTTTGGACTGGTATGGAAGTCCCAGCTCCTCATGTTGTTTCTACTAATAACTTTGGTGAGGGTGGTCCTATTACCAGCAGGGAACAGTGCAAGTTCTAACTCTTTACTTGGCCTCTGCTGATGCCACTCAAGTGGGAGGTGGTGGTGAGGGGACTTATTGCTGCCATATTATTAGTAGATGTCTAGATTTGCCCCATGGTCTCCACTGACATCACGGGGTTGGGGGAGGGGAGGCTGTAACTGCCCTGTGGGAATGAAAGATGAAAATCCCCCCTTGCTACTTGGTCTTTTCTGGCAGCACCACAGGAGGAGGTTGGGGTGCCTTGTTACAGGTTGGTAAGTGGCGGGGTGGGTGGGTGGTGGGGAGGTCTAGACTCCCCAATCAACTTCTTGGTGTGGTTGGAGGCAGGGTTTTGTGTCTGTCTGTATTTTGGGTTGTGATTTTGCCTGGAGTAAAGCAGTCATTGTCTAAAGGTTTCCTGTCTTTGCAGGCTGCTCCTTTCTCTGTCCTCTGGCTGAAGAGAGCAGGCATTTGTGGTGTGCTTTTGGTCTGTGCTCATGAGTGTTTGTGGGTTGCTGGGGTTCATTGCTAATTTGGAATACATGGGAAACAAAGAGGCTCTGTAGAGTTTACCATCATATGCTGCCTTGGATTCGGAGGTCCCTGGCTGTTCTGTTTTCTTCTCTACACCTTTTAAAACAATTAAGTATTATATTTTTTGGAAAGGGTTCTTTTTGTTAACAGTAAAATATGGCTTCTGGATCTATTAAGGTTTTCTTATCCCTTTTCTGCTCAGTGGCCTATCATTGTGTGTGTATGTGTAGGCATAAAAGCTAATTTCTCAAAGATAACTCAAATATCAAAACTTAATGTCACATGTATTGATTTAATTCAATAAATACACAGAATACAGCAGGAAAGAGAACATGGTCCCTGCCTTGTAATCTGTGGCATTTTCATTAAAAAGTGCATGCTTACTAAAAACTTCCAGCTATTAATGCAATCAGGTGGATGGCCCTGGCTGTTTTGTTTGGCCCAAAAAATCAGGAAGTTGGAACATGTTTGAGTAGGTCATTGCTCAGCCAAAACTAAGAATATAAAAGAGAGAGCTTTACTTTCTGCACAGCATTTTCTTTACCACCTCTCTTAGAGGCCCTGGACTTTTGCCTAACTATCCTAAATAGTCTTTCATGGCTGGCATAATTAATCTTCACTTTACTCACTGGGAAATTCATTTAATAATTTATGTAAATAGTTCAATAAAGTTCTTAAGAGTATACTCCAATATTTATCATATCATCTCAAAGTACTGGAGAAGTCTTTAATCTTGTAATGTTATGCATTGATTGTGGGGGGGGGGGTGTATGTAAGAATCTAATAATTTAATCTGAATGGTTATTTAAAATAACTAAGTGAGCAAACTCCAGCAGTAAAGAAATGAGAATTGAAGTTCAGTGTGAGATGGTTGAAATGGAGAAGTTAGATGTAGTAAGCTGATTCTGAGCAGATAACTCTTTAAGACTTGCTTTAAAACTTTTTGATAACCTTAATTGTAAATCTCCTTGTCATGTTGTCTCACAGTGTTTTTTTTTAAAAATCTTATTTCCCCTAAAATAATTTACCATTAGTATTTTGGTTAGAGTTAGAGTTAAATCTCAGCCATGTGAATAAATTTAATTATGACAAAAGACCTGCTGGGCTAAAAAACATTGAATATGAATTGGATACTGCATTCACTAATTAGTTATTATTCATTATCTACCCACATAGTGTTCCTTTACTAATTTGTCTTCCTTTCATTGTTCAAGAGACTCAGTAACAAGTGTTATATTAGTTTAAAAAAGTCCTTTTTTAAGTAATATAAAACCCTGAATGAGAATCATCTTGGATCTCAATAAAGAGAATCATCCTTGTGAGAAGCAGTTTAAATGGCTGGCATTGGATTTGTAATTTGAGCAGGTATTTGACTTGAGTTTTGTATTTGAAAAAAATATTTTTTTTGGAGGGGGGCTTCTATTGGTTCATGTGATGGTTGTGTCTCTGTGGAATAGAGAATTTTAAAAATATTGTCAGATGGTTTGAAAGACAGGCAGAGTAGCATGGCAGTGTACCACCTAGGGTGGTCAGAAATAAGTGTTTGACAAGGTCATGCAATAAAGCATTTATTTTGTGATGAAGTCTACTTTAATTAAGGCCATGTGCTACATAAGTTAGTTAGGTACCTCTTCTGATGCCTCTGGCTCCAAGTGAGACTCCTTCCTTTTGAGGAGTTTAGAGAGAATATCTCTTCCTTTTTCAGAGATGGGCTGCTCTCCCAGCAGGGTAGCGCTTATACTTTGGTCCAGCAGGAAGCTGCTGTTTTCAGTGTGATAGAGAATGCTTCCCTGAAATAGTAATATGAAAATAGGCCTTTAACCCCAGATCAAGGAAATTGTGAGGGGCAGTTCAATGCCACTTTTAGGCAATTGCCATTAAAGCTTTAAAATAATATTTGAAAGAAAAACGGGGTTTGAAATGTATCATGTTTATTTGCCCTTACCATGGGTTACCACTGTCATTTTCAATTATGGAGAGGCTTATGTGTTGACAATGAAATAACCACAGGGAGCAGTTCTCATAGGAAGACCACTTCTCTGCAGAATTCCTACAGAGTGATGCATGTGTTTTGTTAGATGCTCCACAGGAAATCTTCTTTCTGGCCTGGCAATAGGAACCATAGGCTACCAAGGAGACTTCAGTCAATTTGAAATGTTGCAAAGTTTATATCATTCATGAGCCCGGGAGATAGAGTGTGCATCACAGAGAAAGAGAAGCAAACAGCCCTGGGTGTGTTGTAAACAGCTTATAAAATGACCTCAGGAAGGCAGGATTGGAGTTCTGGTGGAAGTCCTCAGCAGTGATGTGGGCCAGGCAGTGAATCAACAGCAGGACAGAGCTTCTCATAGATGCCAAACACTCTGTCCCAATAAACAGTGTGTTTTTGGCACTCTGAATGGAGAAAATACCCAAACACGGAGATGTCCACTTGAGGCAGCCGTTCCACTGACTCATATTCCCTACTTTTATAGAATCTGAAATAACTTTGAAGAACTCCCTGGGCTAATGGAAGTTACTGAAGTGAAGATTCAGAAGATGAGCTAAAACAATCATTTGTCCTTTAACTCTCTGAATAAATTATTTTCTCCACTGTCTCCAGATTTTCTGCTACACAACCCCATCTTACAGAAAACAAACCATTGAAAATTCAGAGCAAATTACTCAAGTATCTGTTCTTTTACCAATGTCCTCTAGTCACTGTCTCCTTATGCAACATTTCTCAAACTCGATTCTGTTCTTTGGACTCTAGGTGGGCCTCGGCATTTCCACTTTCACCAAGCTCCCTCCGTGTAGATGCAGGAGGCCCAAGGACTACACAATGAGAACCATTGTCTTAGAGGGCTCTCAGGCTCTCTTTGTCTTTCATGCCTTTATTGAAATCAGGCTCTCAGATCTGTGTCTTGCCTAATTGATTTGAAACAACTCCCTCATTTATCTTCTTAAGAGGCTATAAGTTGGCCTGGAAAAGCCTTAGATAATTTGGAATCAGATAGCTGAGAACTGTTCCTGGAATTGGCTATGGTGGCAGCACAGACTAGTGGTTAAAAAAATGCGTGTGGGTCAAATACGCCTCGACTTAAGTTAAACTCTTGCTGACAATGTAATCTTGGACAAGTTCTGGGCCTCAGTTTCCTAATTCATAAAATGAGTACCTAACAAGAGTGTCTACCCCCTGGGGTATTTCATGTAGGCACATGGCCAAGTGCATAGCACACAGCACTAAATGAATCCCTTTAGTAAAATGGGATTAATTTTACTTCATAGATTTCATGAAGATCATTTGCAATAGTGCTGGAGAGGACCACATATGAGTAATTTTTGGATTTACTAAATCTCCTAACAAGCTACTTAGTGGAGTATAAGCCATGTCCTAGTCGTATAATATTGATTAGCAGTTCCTCCTTTCACAATCCTTGTTTACCAATGTACTATCACCAGTGTTTCAGCTCTACATATACCAGCTTAGAGTTTCCACCAAGGCACCGCCAATCTACACATTTGAGGAACTACCAGGACAGGAACAATTTAGATCCCTTTCTGTAAAAAGATGCTGATTGTGTAGGATTTCCTGAAGCAGGAACCAGAACTCTTAGGAGAAAAATGAGTCTGGAACTCTGCCTTGAACAATGACAGAGATTCATTAACGGGCCCAAAGTCATTATGATTCACTGGGTGCAAGCCAGGATGTATTCAATTTACTGATTGGAGAAAGCTCTTAACATGCTGACACTTATTGTGCCTTAGTTAAATAACTTAGAAAGTTCCCTGCTCTAAGAAGGAATGCAATATGTTAGTATTTGAGAAACATGTTTTACAACTTTTTTTTTCTTCTGTCTTTACTATACACCCGAGAACTCCAGAACCCTACAACTGGGGCTCAATTTTCAGCACCTGATAGAAGAAGGAACCTAGGAAGGCATTGTCTGAGGCTCCCTGGCAGCAAGATGGGAAGCAATCTGCAGGGAAGTTTCTGGAGACTGGGAAGAATAAGAGACAAAAGACACAAAAATAAAACCCATCCTTTTGCTAAAAATTCTCATGTAGCTCAGCTACATAGCACCACCAAACCAATGGGAAGTAAATGCATGGGAATGCCAATTTAAATTGTAATAGGATAAGTCAATTCAATATACTCTATAGGGAAGTGGAAAGAATATTTAGTTACATGTTTGACATTTATGCTAACTTCAAGAATTAACTTACTCCTTTCCTAAATAGAAGCAGGCTAGAGTGGC